TAATTTGGAACAAACTATAAAGCCCAAGCTCTCGAGATAATCCGCACGATGGCTTTACTATAGTAGGAAAACAAACTTAAATGTAGCGTCGTACAACATGTGTTGAACTGTCACACATGCTTTCCCTCAGACTATACCCTTTTACTCGAAAAGGTTATTTTGCATCGGTTTTTATGAATTCAATTTAGTGTTTACGGAAAGTACAATGTATATAGTATCTGCAGCAAGCAGATATTTAAGAATATCGCCAACATATCGAAGTGAAAAGAAAGATACATGGTATGACTTACATGACCACGAACAATTACGGTGATACGTCACTGAGTTGTGAACTGAAGAGCCAATAGGTTAAAAGATGCACTACCTCGTGACTGAACTGTACACGGTCCGTGATATCTTTGCTTCGGGAGTGAAATGCTATCAACCTGATGTTCTAAGGAAAAGAGAACACGTTTGCCTTCTAATAGTTTTGAAACTTTCTGCGTTAATGGTGGTGATTTATTTAAAAGAGACTTTCCGTGAGTTCAGGAAGTGACAAGTGACTCTATTGGGTAAGAAAAGTTGAGTACTGCGTTGTGTCTGTAAGTGGATTTGCGTATCACGCGATATGTCAGATTTTGATGTTGGCAGCCTGAATTTGCTGACTGCTATGTAACGGTTTACTTATCATAGATTCAATTTGCGAGATTTATAGATTGCCTTCAGTTAGTAATTCAATGAACCATTCTGAGTTATGCAGTTGTGGTGTCAGACAGAATCCTTCGTTGTTAACTTCCGCCTAAGGGGGCCGAAGCTTTCGCTTTCTCTTTGAATTGTAAGAAAGGTTTACAGGTTTTGAATACAACCGTGCGATGTTCTTACCAGGTGTCCTTTTTGCCACACATTTCTCGATCGCTTCCAATTTAGTTTTCCGCAACAAGAGTAAGTTGGAAAAAAGAAAAAGAAGCATCAAGATCATGGTTGATAGCCTGCGTCGCACATAGGTTTCACCGCTGGCTGCTTTGCCGGCCAAGTTGCTTTATTCAGAAAAAAATAAAGAGAGACTTGTGTTTGAAGCCTGAGCAATAAATAATGTGTGTGTGTTTGTTTGTTTTTTCATACTAAGGATTTCTGGGATGCAAGATTTTATTTCAGACATTTGAGTTCGAGATTAGGAAAACTGGAATTGGGAGATGCACAAATACGGAACAGGACAATGGAGATGCGAGATTTGGGAATTATTTTTTGTAGAAAGATCCAACAATATGCCCCATTTCAGAGCCAAAATCTCTGTTCACTTGTAGAGTCGACCTGCTGCATTAGCAATAGTGTGCGATGGAATATAGACGCTTTTCATCTCTCCAAATGCAAACGGTCATATATTCAGTACTAACCTATCTTTCTTCAGATAATTTTCGATAATTAATTTACTCTTGGTTATTTTTTTTTTCATCAAAATTTTTGACAAACAGGTAGAGCCCGCGATGTCAGGAAAACCTCCTGAGCACAATCGGGAACCAATTATGCGAGCTGCTTCAGCTTCTCCTCAAGAAGCCAGTAGGATCCCAGTGCCAATTGCGCCAAAAGGTGATATAATAATACTAGAATTGTACTTTGGCTGAATTTTGAGCGCTATTACTAGCCTGTACACAGACGTTGTTTTATTTTTCTTTTCGTTCTTTTCGGTCAATAAATCCCCCGCGGTTTTTATTTTTTATCACGTGCGTTCGACAGACTTTGAAGAGAAAATGGAGGGTCTGTGAACAGGCTACGCTATTACGGGTATAGAGTAGAACCCCATTAACTCGAACTCCGAAGTGAAACGAAAAACAGTTCGAGTTAGAGCTAGTTAGCGGGGTTTCGAGTTATCGGAGTCGATTGAATGTCAAATTTGTCATCTTACTGATTTTTCAGCACTTCAGTGTATATTACAGTGCAAATTTAATTTATTTGATCAGGAACAGTAACATGATTACCGGTATACTTTTTATGATGAAAGTTATCTGCGGTTTGTTGATTAGGCCAATCAAAATCAAATAGTTGTGGTGTTAGTTTTAGTGGTTTTACCGATTATAAAACAAGAAAAGCTAATAGAGTGACATTTGATTGGAGTTACAAGAACCAGAATTCGAGTTATTGGGAACATTTCATTGAAATTCGAAGTTAAGTTCGGGTTGTTGGGGTTCTGCTGTATTCTTATTTGAAATTTTTTTAATACGAACTGCCGACTTTCCATGGCCAGCGTACACTTCAAAATCTCCAGCGACGTTTGAAACACGGGAAACGAGGGTTTTGCTGAAGGCTTTCAAGGAAAGACAATAAATCTCATTTGGGAGCGTGGGTCTTTATAGAAAGAGGAGGCTGAAAGAGAATAAAATGGGAAACTTCACTCATTTAGCAGTTCACTTTGCATGAGTCATTCACTATTGGCTAGCCAGGAAAAACAAATCATACCAAAAACAAAGTGAATGAAACAGTCACATACAGTTGTAACGTTAGATTACTGAAGAACTAGCTTAGAAGAATAAAACATGCGAATAAATTGACGCTGGATATAGGCGAATCTTTGCCGACGTCATTGTTTACATTTTTCCTCATTAGCATACGACTCATCTCAAAGAAGCCGTGGCCGTATATACGAACTAAATTCAAAAGTTGAAAGAGCTGATTAACTTGAACAATTTGTGCAAGCAATATTGAAGGAAACATCAGCTATCTAACACTGCGAAATTGCTGCGAAACAAAAAAGTTAATGAGCCATACATTCTTTGTAAAATTTCGAGTATTTAAAAGAGAATTTCTCCGAAACCATTCGGTATATCGGGCTCAAATTTTCAGAGATAACTGCAATTGTTATGCTCTTTCAATATCCTGGGGTTTTATTTTTGCCCCCGCAGGTAGATTTCGCCCAGAAGGCGAAATCGCGAGGAGGCACCCTATAGTAAGTCGCGCGTATATTAGGAAAGTACTTACAGTTGAAATATACAGTCGGTATGCCAGAGAAAAATCTCGATTTGCTTGAACAGGGGCCGCGAGGAATCGGTAGGTGATGATAACGTTTCCATTGTTTGCGCCCGCAAGTAAAAGATGGTTAAAATGACGTAAATCAGAACAAGGGAATAAGACTCAGTCCCAAACAAACAAGACGAGTGAATCAACGGCTAGCTTATCACTAGCAGAACGATGGACGATTACAGAAAATCGCCGACAATCAAATTGTGTGCAGACTTTCCCCTCTCACCGATGTCCTTCTGGGCCCAGTTGTTCGAAGGCCGATTAGCTCTTAACCTGGGGTTAAATTTAACCCTTGTTTCTTTTTCTTGCGCTCAAAAGCATTTTTTTGGATAATTTTCTCTGTTATTTTTAGACCTTCCAATCATCAACCTGTAGACAAAAAGAATTAAAACTGAAATGCTTTTTAAGCTTTCAAATCTGAATTCAAATCTCGCACTAACCCTGGGTTATCTTAATCCAGCTTTGAACAACTCGGCGCTGAGGATAAAGTTTAAAAAAGGCTAGAAAGCGCGAGCGTTAATTGATCAAACCTGTTAATTTCTAAATCTTACTTTCCGGGCAAATAAAATGAACTTTATGTAAAAAGTAAGAGAGAAAGAGCGAAAAATTCCAACTTCTAATTATATAAATCTTTTCTTATGGTTTAGAATAAACTATTCTCGAAACTGAGAAAGCTGTGTAAATCGAACTGAATCAGTGCATGGAACCTTGCGTTTCCTGTTTTTATCTCACCTATTGTATGGAATATGTGTGAAAATCTTCATTATGAATCGGTATATTTCAAAGAGCTACACAACGAGCAAGAATACTATTGACCGACTGTACCGACTGTAGTGTCAACCATTACTAGTATTAGCTTCATCAGGTAATGATGGACATATGTTAATAAGGCAGAAAATGTAAACAAAGATTCACCTACAACCTATCCCGCTTAGTATCTCATTTGACCCTCCAAGTCCCAATAGTGACGTACATCAATTTTCTTCAAACAGTATCAACACATATTTAAAATTAAAGGCTGCGAGAATCAATAAAATGATCGCGAAATAGCCGAAATGCTTTCCCAATTGATTTTTTAACAAATTATCTCACCTAATTTTTTTAGGGAAATACATGGATCGATCCTTTAACAGAATTAGATATTGGGATTAATGGGTTCATTTTTGATCCTAAGGTCTTCAACAAAGTGTGGATACTCAGCTAGGCTTGCATCCTGTTGCGGTTTCATCAGTACGTGGCCCCCAGGTAGATGTAACGATGTTCTTTTTGTATCTCGATTTGTATTTACCGAAGGTTTCTGATCACTCAGTTACTTGGAGTAAGCTCTGGGGAAGAATACTCTTGCAGATAGGAGATAATCCGTCGGCACTCTTCCTCTATTTGTGCGTCAACTTTCACAAATGTTCTAGCGTTGCATTTTAAGGTTAAATTTGACCGGCATTTTGTGCAGCGAGTTCTATGGTCACGATTGACTTCAAACTTGCAGATATATTACTAGAGAGCTCTGAGGCTTAATAACATTTTCGTAAAGTTCCACTATTCTTTATTAAGGATGCCAAGAATCATAGAAATCGGTTGAGTCGTTCCTGCCGAAAAATGCGATTCAAAAACTTAACCAACACTTATATAAATAGGTTCGGGCTACCTTAAAAACATTCCGGTTCCTTGCCGGGTTGTTTCAGGCGATATGAAGGTATTGGAAGTTTCAAATTAATCCTTGGGTATACGATGCAGTGACTAAAACTCACGGTAGAGACCCTATGTAATAAACGCAGATAACCTTCCATTGTTAATAAAACTTTTGGAATGTATGTAAAGATCGCTGAGAGAGGAATACGAACGCTGAGCGAATACTGCGAACTTCTAGTATAAATATCGATTTTTTTTTTACCACAAACTGGTTTGGTGATCCTTATTGTTAGGCAGTACAAGTCCCTATAACTATAAAGGTACCTTTAGTTCGCATAAAATTAAAAGTCCACTCCGTGAAACAGGTTACATCCGGCATGGAGCAGTCCACAGCTAGAGCAAGTGGTGTCGCTCCACCTAAAAAGAAGAAAGAACCTGGAGCTCTAACAGGAAAGAGTGTTGTGGTGCTGAAGCCCTGTGATGTTGTAGAAAGGGATGGCACAGTGTTCATGCCCAACACAATTGAAATGGCTCAACTTAAAAAGGCAGAAAAGGGCCAGTTTAAAACAAACGTGCAGATTTCTTCAATGATGACTGAAATGGACATAAAAAAGATAGTAGTGGAGACATTTCCTTTTCTCAAATGCCAAAGGTAATGATATTGCGAACTTCTAGTATAAATATCTCAGTGTCACGGTAATGATATTGTTATACGAAACGGTCACAATTAAGAAAAATTAATGTAAGGTGATCCATAGGTGAATGATTGCCGTCTCTTTTAATACCCTAGCTGCCCCTATCCTTCTGTCTTCCACTAGGTGAGTTTAATGGAGCTCTCAGTGTCACGAAATTTATTTCTTGAAATTCTCACAGTAGGAACTGCCATCAAATTGAGTGAAATATAAATATCACTACTAAAGAGAAATTAAAAGAACGTATTAATAATTGCCCCCGCAGGAATTTCGCCCAGAAGGCGAAATCCCAAGGAGGCACCCTAGTAAGTCGCGCGTATATTACGAAAGTACTTACAGTTGAAATATAAAGTCAGTATGCCAGAAAAAAATTGTTTGAACAGAGGCCGCAAGGTAAGTAAAAGATGGTTAGGATGACGTAAATCAGAAAATCCCAAAGGGAGTTTGTGGGAGTTTGTGTATTGTGACATCACAATAAACAGGGGTAGCTTTTAATCAAAAATCCCTATTTGGGGAGTTAGAAAATCCCGAGGGGACCGCTTAGGTAGATTTTGTGACATTTATTGTCATAATACGATACTCTTCGGCGTTACGTGTTATCAGTGACATTCTTTGGAGCAACTGTTTTGAAAGTGATGGGCCAAAAGACACTCCGATTTAAGGGCAGATGAAGTTATAACACCTGGAGAGTTATGTGACACTGGTCAGCGGATACCTTTTTTGACAGCTGTCAATTGACCATAACATGGTTGTCCAATACCAAGTTTAAGAGTATATGCGTTCGACTTCTAGCTTGTTAGTATGCCATTTAACATCCGATAACATGAATGGGTGGACTTACATACTGACGATTTTGTCAAAACCCAAATTTCTTGGATACATAGATAACCAAATCAGTTTTCTTACCACTGGTGGTTCACGCGAGAGGTCCGCTATTAATGACACAGCAAATACAAAATAAGGTATGGATGGACAAACTTGGAGAAGATTTTCAATACAGATAGTGATTTTGTGTTTTTGTCAAATTCATTTTGTTGTTTTGATTAAAAAAAAAACTGTAATGCTTAGGAGTTTGGACAGGCCCTGTGATTTTGTCATTTACAAGTACTTTCTTCGCTTAAAGTTTCACAGCGATGAAAATTAAGAGAACATCCCTTACAACTTCAAAGTGGTGTTTCTGGCGAAATAAATTGCACTGTAATAGCGAGAGATGTCATATTATTGTCCTCTCTTTAATCTATTGCTTTCACTTGTGCCAGCATGAGTGCTTGGAATTTAAAGGGGCTGTGTCACGGCCGCCTAGTTCCATTTGTTATTAATGTCAATTACGCTTCCTTATAGGCAACGAAATACACATTAAGTGGTAAGTTAATGTTGGGTGACCCCAGTTGACGTTTCTGAACTATCTGATAATGATCTTGTAGGCAGGATTTTTTCTGCACGAGCGGTCAAAGTCGGTTTGTCTCGTTTGATGAGATTCTTCTGATGATCGTAAATTAATCTACTATAGCAGCTGCGTTAAGCACGACGTATAGATATATTGAATTTAACAAATATTTAAAAAACGCGAAATACCAGTCTTTCAGTAATTTTCACTGCATTTTTACATTAAACCATTCCATTCTTTTGCTAGTAACAGGTTGTACTGCGCAGGAGCAAAAGACAATCGCACAAGATTAGACTTTTATGGAGAGCGTCGGATCTGGAATGGACGTTTTATAAAGCAGAAGATAAAGGGCAACTCAGCCCTCTATATTTATGCTGAAGAGGTAAGGTCTCTATTGACCATTTTCACATAGACCTTAATGCACCTTGTTTATCCCCAAAATTTTGCATAACCAGTGTTTCCTGAGTATTGCAGTCGTCCCAAGAGAAATCGAAGACAATGGCTTTTCAAAATTTGGGTGGATGAACAAGGCGCATTATGGTCTATGTGAAAATGATGAATGTAAAACAAAAACATTTCAATCAAACTTCGCTGGTTCGGCGACACACACATTTCTAGTTACACACATACCGTATATTCTTTAATGACGATTAAGTGCATTTTGAGTAAAAATAATAGCCTGGAACGATCATAGGTTTCAGGGCAGAAATCATCTTTAAGGACGGTGCCCACTATTGTTATTGCGCACATTTTCTGCGCATCTCAAGGTAGTCGCGCGCGACGCGAAAGAAATGCGCAACACGCAGGACACGCGGACTGGTTTTGTCTCTAGTAAGTCGTGGAGGTTTTAGTTATTTCTTGTGAAAAAGATGTTTCGTTTTTCAACAAATGACACATAATTTTTATTTACTTTTGTCAGTTTTTGAAAAGTGAAGAATTATGTGCATGTTGCCATTTATGCCGCATGATCAATCTCACCGAACATTTTATAGTAAAAAAGAAGGTCTGCTCTCAAAACATCAAAAGTTATTGCTTCAAATTGTTAGGTTTAGAGCTTGAATATTAAAAAGTCCCTTAAAAGGCAAGGGTCATCAGTAAATCAGAACAAAAATAGCTTTAAGTCCTCCGTTTAATCGGGAAACTGCAAGCTTACCTTTCACTCGCGTCCTTTGCGTTTTAGCGGCTAATCGGCTCTAAACAAAATGGTTAAAAAACGATCGAAGGTTTACAATCCATATTGCATTTACAGTTCAAAAAATCTTAAGGACATGTACAGGTAACCAAACGATTGAAGGAGTACCTGTCTAAGAGTCCCTGTCGACTATTTTCCACTTCAGTCCAGTACTTTGTTTGAGGTAACGGCCTTGGATCTTGAACTCGCCATACTTCTACTCTGTACGCTGGAAGTAATCTTTAACACCTCGAAGATTGCTCTTCTCCAAAACTTTTTGTTAAATGTTTGAGACAGAGAAGCCCCAGTTGAATGAAATAGAATAATTTGTTTTCCTTAGAGTCCATAAAATATCCTGTTTGACTTTCTATTTCTGCTCTCTTCCGTGGGTTGTTCTTCTCTCTCGGGCTTACTGTTAGCCATTGTGGATATCCCAGAGTAATCCGCGTTGAGTGAAGCAATAATGAAACTGACCGGGGAGGGGATGGGAAAAATTGTAAATAACCCCTAAAGCGATTAAGTTAAGGTCGAAACTAACTAATATAACTTCTAAAAACGCGGGGTAACCCCTACTTTTTATGATACCAAATGAAAGTAATAAGTCTACTCAGCAAACGATCAATTTTTGGTTTGGGAAAGATGTTGTTAACACTATTTTTAAGGCAAACGCGTGTAGACGGGTAACTGCTGATTACTTTCCAGTTGTGATGATATTTAAAAAAAAAAAAGATGTATAAGGAGCAGTTGTTATGTTATCATTTGTTGCTTATTTTGAAGCCTTGTTGCAATTATTATTGAATTTGTGCCAGTTAACACAGTACACTCTGAAAATTGATTTTCTAAAAAATGTCTATTCAGCGTTTTTCTCCATATTGAAGCACAGTTATCTCTGAAAAATGCGTGGTTACCCCCAGTTTTCTTTTGGATTTCAATAGCCCCTGATATGATCTACATGACATAACATAACATAACATAACTTTATTATTTATATAGCGCAAAATACATTGGTATATGATCTAATGCGCTTGTCTACTTGTCTCACATAGTCATTACCTGGGGAAAAAAATACTTCCCATTAGTGGGCACCGTCCTTAATTGCACTATTTTTCACAGTTGCATATGCACCTTTAATAATCCGCACTTTTTGCTCTTTTCGCTATTAGATGTTGCCTGCGTCGCAGACGTAATTTAATCTCGATTAGTAACGTCTGCAAAGCAGCGCCGATATTCTTGTTCTGGGCACCCAACGGACTCAATGATTACCGAAAATGCGTTTCGAATTTCCTTTCATCTTGATTGGTAAATCGACAATGGCTTTTTAACCGGCTAACCATGATCATGGGATGTACTCAAATCTTGGTACACAGGTGGGAGCCCAGAACAAGGATTTTGGCGCAGTTTCGCAGACGGACTTAACCAGAGTTAAGTTCCGTCTGTGGCGCAGGCTATATCAGATGTAGCAAATGTTTTCTTATCTGTTCAGTTTATCAACAGGTGTTGTCGCTTTCCTTGACAATGTATTGCTTTATATAAAAAATTCTATTGACAAACAGGATTCCACAGTAGCAAGACAGATCGAGGCTTCAGGAATTGATAACCAGTCCCTCTCGGCTTCAAGTGAAAGCAATAAGTCAATTAAACAACCTGCTGCTTGTTCAAACACGCGGGCACACCTAGGGTCAGTAAGGACAGTCGCAGAAACAGCAACAGTAACAGTAACAACGTCACTCGTGCGTCTGATATCGTCACCGTCTGTCGCAATAGGTAATGTAACAGTGAGCGTTTCCTTTTAAATTTACATTTCATTTACTAAGAAAATCCACGTGTCAACTTTTACTACACCATACTATTGAGATATTTTTCGCTTAATGGCTTTCTTAAGGGGAAAATCGAAGAAATAAAAGAAATTGTCATTAGAAATTAAAAACATCATTTCCAAATCCTTCTCGTACACACAGAACACAAGAGTATAAAGTCATGAAAACGTATCTAAAAAAAGAGATTTTATTTGCCCGACTCAATAAATGATAATTATAGAATTGATTGTATCTTTGCGGCTAGATCTGTACTCACTCGCGATCGCTTAGTGCAGTTACTCATCCATGCTATAAATTCCGTTCCTTAGTAAATCAGCGTACCCAGAATGCCATTCCCATGTCATCAGTATGTGCCACTCAGGTAAGGTCCAAGTCCATGTTGTTGTTATTCAGATAATAAAATCTTTGGCAATTTAGTTTGTTCAGTACGTGATGATGAACATGAAAGTGGTTTAGTCTGCAGTCTCAACTGATAATTTTAATATGATTTTGTCTGGTAGTTTGACTGCCGTACGCGCGCTCGCTTAAAATACACCACACACTTGTTTAAAAGAATAGCTCACGGTACTTCACAAAAGTTGGCTTTTCATTGTGATGAGTTGTATTTTGGTAGAAAAAAGCGTCGATTTATTTTTTCGATTATCTGGCACAAAAACCAGAGTATGGTTAATGCATTTAGCACGAAAATACTATTTGGGGACACGTTTTTTACGTTTCTAACTAGAGCTGGGACTAGCCTGAGTATGAGGCGTTTCTGGGGGGAAAAGGGGAAAGATGTCTAAAATCTCCTCTCCCCTAGCCCCTTAGGAAGGCCTCAGCCAAAGTTGGGACCACCATTAATGTGGTCATTTGAGCCACGCAAAGGTCCAGCCGCTTGCAGTGTAAAGCGAGCACTTTTATTTCGCAGTTATTTTAAGACCCTAGCTTTAAAAAAAAAAAAAAAAAAAAAAAAAAAAAAAGGACAGTAGATATATCTAGCAACCTTTGTGGCATTACAGGTGTGGTATGGAATCCCTAATGAAAGGGTTCCCAAGTCTCCACTAAAATAGTGGGTAAGGTGGGGAGGGAGGATGCGTGTATACAAGGGTGTTGTGTGTATAAAAACAGAACAAAAAAGTTAGATGTTAAGATTAGCACTGATAATGAGGGACGGGCAAACTGCAGAGCAGCTATGTCTACCTCAAAGAAGTGCAAAAAATTATTGAGCAGAAAGTAATAATTGCTGAAATTTTAATAACGATAGGATTAAATAAAATATTAAAGTTGAAAAATAAAAAGAATAAGTATTGAGGGACTGGCAAACTGTCAAACAGCTATGTCAACCTCAAAAAAGAGTTAGGATAAGTATAAGAGGATGAGGGGTTAGAAGGTAAAAATAATAAGAAGGATGATAGGAAGATGAAAGGGGAAAAGAGGGACCGGCAAACTGCAAAGCAGTCATGTCAACCTCTTGGAGAGTTAAAAATAAAGAGGAGAGAAGAGGAAAAGGAGGAAAAAAAAAAAAAAATTATTTTTAATAATAAAATGAAATGAAATAAATGATAGAATGAAATAAAATAAAATAAATGAATAATAAATCCGGGTTAAACAAAGGAAAAAACTAACAAAGGAATTACTTCAATAGCTTTAATGTGTGATTTTTTCTTCTTCTTCAAAAATAATGGTAACATGTTTGTGCAAAAATGAAAACGTACAGCTGTTTGATTCTTTGGTGATAATAATAGTATCAATGTGTTATATGTGTTGTCTAATGCTTTTCTTTCGGCTGGAAAATTGTTGACAAACAGATTCCCACACATTCGGGAGAACAGTCATCGCTAAGGTGCTCCGACGAAGGCTACGAACACCCATCAAAGAAACGCAAGACAGCCCAGAACGTTTCAAAACACTCAAAAACCAACGCTGGTAACCGCTTCAGGAGAAAAAGGTCACATTCTATGACTTCGTCAAATTCTGTTCCTATGAGTGTTTCGTGTCCAGTGGGTATGTAAATTTTCCTTTTTGTTTATTTTCTGTATAATATATAGTGGTTAACTCAACTCCAATCAATCATATAATGGAATCCTCGCGCGCTTTCAAAACACCCATATCTCGGTGACTGATTCATTCAGTAAAATTATAGAGTTATAAGGAAAGGATGGAAGGTAATGGATATAACTACTGCAGACTGATATAATAGTTCAAGAAGCTAATCTATTGACTCCTCGGCACCTAAAAAGCCCCAACATATGCATTTATAATTCATCCCGAGTGTTTTATTAGAATTTCATTTCCACATGCACAGCATCTGATCAACAAAGTTTAGTACAACCTATGCCTCCTAATACTGGTGCCATAACGGACACGTCGAAGCTAGCGGCTCAAATGGAAAATTTGAGATTCGGAGAAAAAGCTGGTTCTAGTGGCAAAAGAGTCGACAATGGAGCAGACTCACGCCACGACAGTCAGGTTTGTCCCACAATAGTAATTTTGGAAGTTCTATACTCCCCGGGACGGTACTTCCAGAAGAATTGGGTGGGGGTGTGCGGCACGCTTCCTGAAACCCTTACCCTATTTCAGACCAAAATCTGTGATTTTCCCTACCCTATTTCAGACCTGATCAAAAATTTGATACACTATTTCAGACCTGACCCTTGAATCAATACTCTATTTCAGGCCTGACCCTTAAATCAATACCTATGTCAGACCAATGTTAAACGCAATGTTTATACGCTTTTATTAAGTAGTATACAAAACTGTACAAAGTTTCGAGTTTCTAAACATTAAAAGGGAAATGGTCTTATCGCCTAATGATGAAGAAGTGGCTTCTTCTAAAAAAAATACCCAATTCAAGACTAGAGTGCTCAAACCATACCTCAGACCATAATGGTCAAAATTGATACCCTCTTTCAGACCAAAAGGGCTAAAAAAAACCCCACCCTTTGGCGCCGCACATACCTATATAACCTATATAAGGGGGTACCCCCCCGGGTCTATACTTTACTTTAACTGAAAATTCAGAAGTCTTAGCTATTGTGGACGGTGAAAACAGTGCTGTTGTCCACCCAATAACTAAATATCATTGAACGCAATGTTTACTCTGACCATATTCATTATATTATGTATCATAATGAACCTTGCAAAGTTCGTAGTAGTCGGAACATTGTTGTCATTTAAGTGGAAAAACGTCATCATTTCCGTTCGCCACAATTTCGATATTAGTTATACATAGTCACAAAACTATACGTCACGTACGTCTAGTTACTTTTCTCAGTCAACATCAAGAAGAGTTATATTTATTGTTATGTTTATGTTTATTATCATTTATTTCATAGTCAAAGCCTCTACCAACGGAGGAAATAATTGAACTTGGAGGTATGTAGAAATGTGCTTACTTTTAAATTCAGAGTATTTTTTTACGATTTTAAAAGTGTAAAGTTCGCAAAAGGCAGCTAATCAACACTTTTTTCTCTCATGTAGTGTAGGGAAGCTGTTTTTAGCCAAGAAATAAATATGTATCTCAGGCTTATCTTTGCATAACCGATATTGGTATCAACGATGTCGTGTTTTACTGAAGTACGTCAAATGCTCGTAGCTCTTACTTTTTTTCAACAGCTCACGTTTTCCTGTGTCAATTTTAGATCATAATTGAGGGATATTCCCATTTTTGTGTTCCCATCAAAAGAAACTATCTTTCTTGTCCCAGATTTATGTGGTCATCCAAACAGTTATTATTTGTAATTGTTAAGGCTGTGTAAATGCATATTATCTAGAACTTCCAAAGGAAGAAAATATCTTTTGATCCTTATCCTTCTTGATCCACAAAATCTTTGAGAAGTGGTCAATGTGAGGAAATTGTATTCACTGCTACGGACCCTATAATTTTTGTGGTCACAGATTTAGCCGTTTTGTTCTAGCCTTATCATGCATTTATTGTTGCTTTAAATATGTTGCAGCCAACGGGCCTGAATGAGACTGGAATACGTAAAAAGGAAGCTTTTTAAAACAACTAACTTTCAAAAACCTTTGTGATTTTGTTGCTAAGTCTTGTTGATTAATAATATTATAGGACAGCCACATAAAGGATGGAGTCTAGGTGGAGGTTCATCCAGCTTGACAGGCGAACAGCCCTACTTCATTGGTCAACAAACGCTAGATGACATATATCATGAAAGAGTAGGGGTAAGTTTAAAAAAATTATAATATTATATTATTAACTGAGAATAATATTAAGCAGAAAAGTGGGGTTAAACAAAATCAAACGTTTAAGGTTAATTCTGAATGCTAACAGTCAACGGTGGGCGTTTCAACAAAAAAGAAGCATCAAATACAATACAGAGGAAGCGTGTAGTATGTTCTTTTATAACCAGACAACATTTTGCGTTTTTGTGCAGGTTTCGATGGAAGAACTGGACACTAACCCGCGGATGGAGATCAACAGACAACAAGGTTAATTTTCTATCCTTTTTTCACTCACACTAACTAAATAATAATTAATATTTTCAGCATCATTTCCTCTCTGTATTCTGTCTGGCCTGTTCTAAGCTTTCGGTCAGTGCAGATGAGCGAAAAAAGCGAGCGAGAGAAAAACGGCAGAAAGAGAGAGAGTCTCTCTTAACAGAGCAACTTCATCGTCCTCGTAGACGATGAGTCACTTATTTCCACTGAATGAAAAAAAAATGTGGCAGTAGGAGCATGGCATCAAAGCCTTGAAACCCTTATATGCCTTTTCTTCCACAGAGGCAGCTGTTATTGCAGACCCAGGAGCCCAAGGGCTTACAGAGGTGAGTGTTTTAAAGTTGTATCTGGAACAAAGTGTAAAGCTTGCAGTATAAGGCGTATTTTTCCATTGAACCCATTTTGAAGCTGATATCTCTAGGTTTCTAAAAGTCGCGGATATGGCCTTTAAGTTACCAAAATTATATTTAGGTAATCAGCTAGTTGCAGAACAACCGCGAAATTGTTCAAAAACGTTGTACAAAGGAGGCTCAAGTGTAGTTGATCTTAACGGAGTGAAATTGATGAATTAAATCATACAGGCAGCTATTTCATCATCATCATCCTCATTTATTTGCCTTGTTTAAGTACAATGGAAGTTTATAGCAACATCTTTTGGCGAGAAGACCTCAAGAAACCGCCAGGCTTATCTCAGAGGCCACCTTGAATATAAATACATTTGCAACTAAAATAAGTGCTACGCGTGTGCGGCTTGGCTAATTTAAGATTATTTTAGTAAAAACTCTACCATCTTTTTCTTAAAGCTAGGAAAGCTTTGTAAACAAGTAACATATGCTGGGAGAGAATTGCAAATTTTCGGACCTTGGCAGAGAATTGCGAATTGTGTAAGATTTAATAGTTTGACAAGAGTGCCATCGATAATCGCTGGCTGTTCTTGTGCCATAGTTATGTAATTGAGAACTTGTTATAAACAATTAATGAAACATTTGAGGCAACAATTGATTATGATGATAAAACAAAAATTTGGTTATATGAAATGTCATGATTTGAAAAATATCTAGAATTCCTAATTTTGTGAATAAAGGATATGAGTGTGCCCGATAGTCTGAATTGGTGATAGCTAACATAGCCCGCTTTTGCAAATAGAAAATTCTGTTTAAGTTAGATACATATGTAGACGACCAAGTGGAGTCACAGTAATTAATATACGGACAAATGAACGTATATTACAAAGATAGTTTTCTAAAGTAGGTTGAGTTTGATCGTCCGGGTGAACGTAGTCCTGAATAGGACTGTTGTTGTTGATAGTGGCTGACGTTTCGACAACCTGTGCGGTAGTCATCTTCAGAGTCAAAGTGAGTTGTATTACGTCAGTTGATGGTGTTATACTCTGGTTATTGATCTGATTGGTCAATTACGTCGTGATGTTATTGGTCGTCTGTCAGTTAAGCCGTGATGTTATTGGCTATGAAGACTCGTAATCAGTAATTGTCACAGTTAAACAGTCGTCTATTGTTAGTCAAATTGTCAGTTCTCCAGTCGTTCTCTCGTAGTTAGTTTTGCTTGATCTCGTCGATAAGTCGTTTGTACAGCGCTGGTAAATGTTGGCTACGATTCAGTGGCGTTTGTTCTAAGTTAGTAAACCAGCTTTCTAAAGTAAGACGTCGATAGTAGTCTGTAGAATACGTTATACATGTCGCAGAGTCCCAGCAAGAGAGAATGAGCTAAGGGAGCGAATCCCTGTGAAGTTCGCGCGCATGCTACGAAGGTTATTTTTGTCTTTTGTGTCCGGGACGCGCGTGGTCTACTCTCACGTGAACGGGACATGTTTCGCCGCCAAACATTTGAAGTTTGACAGCCATTATAGTAATTAGCGCCAGGAGCCGATGAGTACACTCCTTTTTTTCTATAAGAATATATTTTATAAGAATATCAGGGCTGAAATTCGCAAAATTTTAAGAATATTTTAAGAATAAAACCCAGACTGAGATATTGAAAAGGATATATTTTTGTGTTCAAAAGCTGTAAATACAATACAATTATATATTTTCCACTTATTCCATTCTCTGAAGGGGAAAACTAGGCAACAAAACGAGAAAACATGAACTAACTATAACTGATACCCCCAGTATAGTCTAAAACGGAAATGTCATGAGCTATAAACTAAGAATCAAAAATACTAGAATATTTTCAGCCAAAAATCGGCAGAAGAATAAGAATATTCAGCCTGTGCCGGGAAAACATCATTCTTATTTAAAAAAAGAGTGTATCGGCTTTTGTTGTTGACATGCTTTTGATCAGTGTTCCGCTCATAATTTAGGAATGAATTTCATTTACAAAGGGATTGCAGTATTGGAGTCAAAATTTCACTTTGAGATTAAAAACCGAGATTTTCTAACGGCTAGTAGCCTCATTTAAAGTAACGAATATTGAGTTCTGACACACTGTGAAAGCCAAAGGCAAAGGTAACAGTTATCAAGCGTGAAACACGAAACCTTTAAGAGGTGGCTGGTTTCAATTGTTTATGCAAATGTGCAAGATATCTTTTTTCATCCAGGAATGTTTTCCGGTCACAAACAGTTCATTTGCTTTTAATAATTATTCTTAAGAGTTTCAAACTGTGCATAACGTCTTCTTAACGTCTAATACTTGCGATGAATATTTCTCTTTGCGAATACAAATCAGGTCAGATGCTTTAAGCTGTTAAACAGTCGGTAACCTTGATGCCAGAGACTTTTGATGCGCGGTTTCCAGTTTCGGTCAATTCTTTTTAGTGGGCGGTGTGCCCACATTTGTCTAGCGCCCTCCCAAAATTCAAATGTTTGGCGGCCAAACCTTCATGTTTGAACCCACTTTGAACCTACTTTCTCGTTACGTGTCAACGGTTGGATCCAAACGACGGTATCAGCTCGCGGGTGTGTGTTGATGTCGCTGGAAGAGACAGTTGTCGTTTTAATAGAATAGGTTGTTGGTTGTTTATGTACTGATGTATCGACCTCAATAAGCAATTTTGGTAGAGTTGGAACCGCTTTCTCCGGCGAACTCCCACAAGCCAAGACCGTTTTGCTCTTCGGCAGCTGCTCTGGCCAGATTTTTCCACGTAGAAATCCTTTGACTCGTCGACGAAAGTAGCAGCAAGTTTAAAAGTCACATCGCTTGCTGTGCGTGATCGGCAGTGAAATGAATTACCCGCTAAGTTTAAAATTACATGACGCCACTCTAACCGACCAATAAGGCGGCTTCCTTAAAATAACCACGCAGTATGACACCGAACCGAAAATAGATTGAAAATAATTTTCATGGGAAGAATGTCATGTATGGGGGATTCGCTCACTTAGGTCATTCTCTCTTGGTCCCAGTCAATTTGATGTTTCGTCTGTAAATGGTGCTCATTAACGTGATTGTTGACGTCACCATTCCTCGTTGCTCGTTTGTGTTCGGTCAGTCGCGTGGTAAGGTTTCTGCCGGTTTCACCAATGTAAGAAGCCTGGCAGTCGCAGCATTTGATCTTGTTTACTGCTCCCTGTCTGTCCTCCGGTTTTCTTTGTCCTTAACAATAGTAAGCAGTCATCGTAAAGTGGTTATCGGTTTGTGTGCAACACGTATATTGTAAGGTTGTAATATACGTGCGATAGTTTCAGAGGTGCGTCTGATGTACGGTATAGTCGCTGTCGTAACAGGGCCAGAGTTGACGTTGGTCTGAGTGTTGGAATCAGTTGTTACTGTGAGTGTTCCGTCTAACAAAGTCCGTGTTGTAATTGTTCTTACTAAAAACGTTGTTAAGATAACCAGACTCGTCTTGTAGGTTGTCAGGTGAGTCGTAAACTAGTTGCGCTCGTCTCGTCAAAGTCCGGATAGTAGCAGCTTTGTGAGAGGTCGGGTTGTACGAAGACTGGTCTAGTAAACGGTCGGTATGTGTCGTTTTTCTGTAAATAGTCGTTTGTAGTTTGTTGTTGTCGCGAGTGACCAAGCAGTCTGGAAAAGGTATCGTACAATTTTCTTCGATCTCCTTGGTGAACTGTATGCATGTCCGCGTTTTGTCTGTTAAGGTGTTCGTGAAAATCGTCGATTCCGTCTTTGTGTACCGCGGTACACAAAGTAGTTTTTTTTAGTTTTGTTTTATAGTATCATACCAACTGATTTAGCGATTTGTTTGCATACGAAGCTAACATGATGTTTCAAGATAAGATGCTCATGGAGATATACACCAAGAAATTTTTTTTACATTACTTTGTTTAAGAGACTGATTTCCGAAGGAAAGGTTGTAGTCAAGTTTTGTCTGCCTGTCTGCAACGATTTAAAGACAATATAATTGTTTTTTTTTTTTTGTTTTTTTTTTAAATATATATTGACCAAGAGTTTATAAGGTTTTAGCCAAACATCAAAATTTTGCAATTCGTCATTTAGTGCAGATTCTAAGCAGTTGTGATCTGAGTGAGATAAAAGATACTGGTGTCGTCAGCAAAAAGCAGAGGCTGAGCTGATTTAAAAGCATTAGGGAGGACGTTTATATATAGTAAAAAAAATAAAGGACCTAGGATGGAACCCTTGAGGGACACCGCACTTAACGGTCTGCAATAAGGAACAAGCTAGATTGACTTGAGCAAATTGTTGACGGCGAGAAAAATAGCGGCTCCATTGTTATAATTGTGACAAACGTGTTGATTAAGTAATGAAAAAGAAAAGATGTTGATTATCGGTATAGTCCAATTAATCTAACATAAAAACTCTGACGTGCTTTCAATTTACTGCAGAATTACAATAATGTGCTTTTTCTTTACATGGAAAAGTGACTTTGTGAACAAAAGGGATTCGTCATGATTTATGGTATACTGTAATCGCAAACAGATGCGTAACCCATAATACTTACCACAGCACATCCCGTTACGACCCTCCTGTGACAACTCTTCAATCTTGACTTCGTGTGAGTCGTAGGTTCAAAGGGAAAATATTTTTTGTCGCCCACAGGGGTCTGATCAGTACTTCACCAGCTCAGACATAAATGCCACCTCAAGCGGGATCTATTCAGATGATGATAGTTTGGATTCCTCAGATCAAAGTAAGTACAGCTTTTTCTTAGGAAACTGTCTGTTAGCCAGTTGAATTTTTATTGCCCACACTACAGAAATAACTAATGATATGAAAGCAATTTGACAGTTTAAAGACATCCTAGACAAATTTGCTTGAATCTTTTTCTCCTTTTAATAAATGCTGTCCAAAAATAGAAATTCTACAATCATGGACAAAAATGTCTAGTTTCAAGATGAAGCTTTTGTAAGTAATTGCAACTACAAATTGTTCTCCTTCCCCCCAAAAAAACAATGTTGAAGTCCGACTGAATCATTTGTGATCCCGACTAAACAACAACCACAGCGTACCAAGTCCCGGGATAGGCATTCTTTAGGTAAAAGAGTGCAAAACTCTCGGCACTTTTTGTCCAAGCTTGTAGCTTTTTGTGTTCCTTTATAATTAATTATTATTATTATTATTATTATTATTATTATTTTTATTTTTATTATTATTATATTTTCAGTGGCGTGTTTTAGGCGATTATTTAATAACAAGTTTAAGAAATTTAAAGTGGCTTTAGTCCTACTGCGGTTAATTTAGTATAGCACTGCAAGTCAGTAAAAAAATGTAACTGATGTTCACCTGTTTATTTTTTACACAAGATAATTTAGAAAACTTGTCCCAAGACCAAGTTATTAGAACAGAGGCAAGGCAAGATTTTGAGCCCAAAATAGATCCTAATGAGGTTCCTTTTTATAAGGTATTGCTATTGTTGTTGTTTGCATTTTTTTTTGTTTTGTTTTGTTTTGCTTTGGTTTGGGGGTGTGTCTCTGTGTGCGTGTGGTCTTTTTTTCAACGCTCGATCAATTTCACTATCCAATGGACAGGTAGAGGGTAAATCAATTCTGCTCTCCAGTGTGCGTTGGCTTAATCATCTCGTATCCAACAAGCGCGAGTGGAATAATTGTTTTATTAAAAACGCCCGCAAAATATCGAGAATTCTTCCCGACTTTATTTGTAAAAACAACCGATTTTCAGCTTGTTTTTAATTTTGAGCAGACGCATACAGTTACCATATTTGGTAACGTGTAGCGTGGTGAGACTTGAGTTACCAGTGACAATCTACTTTATTCGAGATCTTTCAAATGTAAACGCGGTGATTCCAGTTGGCTCAACTCTTCAAATTTTGGCGAATTGTTTCAATTAAGAAACCGTATTAAAAAAAAAAAAAAGGGAAATAAAAAATGGTCTATGTATTTGCTAGCCTCTGTACAGTCGTCCCCCTCCGCTCAGAAAAAATCGGGGAGAAAGACGTCTGTGAATCCCGGTCCCGTTTACCCGGTATGTAGGGGTAAGCCTCTGACTGGCTGTAATGTTAATACCATGACACAAGGAATTTCCAGTGATGTGATTGGTGAGTGAATCTCAGAATAGATACCCCGGGGAAAACCTCAGCCTTTGTTGACAGCTTACTACATTTATATACGTCAAGAGCCATAATGGGACTGAGAGGGAATCTTAGGGCGTTGGCCGAGATATGTAAATTTCACTAAAGTTATTTTAAAAGGTTGTAATTAAACAGAAGTCGAATTCTTGGGACGTCCGCACATTTTAATCTATTGTTGGAAACGACATCAAGTCCACGCGCGTCTGCCTCAAAGCAAACAATGCAGAATATAGTAATGGAAACTCTTGAATATTGAACATGACTTTTTCGAGTGAGATTTACAGGCGTCTAGATTTTGGCATCAATATTTTAGATGTAAAAAGTAACGAGATAATGTTCCGACGTTTCGGCGACATCACGACGCCATCATCAAGGAATAAACGTGCGAGTTAATTTTGTTCTTGCATTTTTCAGCACTCTAAAGCAGCTGAGAAGGTCCTCATTAGGGACGGCACCCGCGTAGTCTCATCCTAGTGCTTGCGCACGGAAGATGATTTACGCGGGTGGCGTCCCTGAGGACCTTCTTAGCTGCTTTAGGGTGTTGAAAAAAGCAAGAACAAATTTGACTCCCTCGTTAACGAAATGCTTTACATCAAATAATTAAGACCGCCTTTGAACGTGCAAATGGATTCAATCCGCGCTAAAGTCTTTGTTTAGCTGTTTTCATTCATGCAAATTTAGAGTATGTAACTTCTCAGTTGAACTCTCATTTTTATTCCATGATAATGTCCGAACACTATCTCGTTACTTTTTACATGTTTTTTTTTTTCTCGCGTCACCCAAGGGGTGATATAAACGCAAAACGCAAAATTTTCGAGTTGATACCCCACTAGTACTGGAAATTCATTCATTCCTTGATTTTTTATTTAATAAGTGATTTTAGCCAGTATCCCTCACAGACTATTTCTCCTTGCCCCCGCCCTACACCTCAGCTCCCCTTATGCCTCCTCAAGAGAGCAAGAGTCTATTTAACTATATGAATGCAGAAAAATGTTATTTAATGCCCTTATTAAGCCAATTCTTGAGTACTGTTGCATCGTTTGGGGAAGCTGTTCTGTTGCTAACCTTCAAAGGCTATTACAACTACAAAAACGATGTGCGAGATTAATTTTGAACTCCACCATAAGTGATAGCTCCGTTGAACTTTTTGATCAGTTCGGTTGGCTGCCTATAGATGACATTATACGCGTTAGAAAACTCTTCCTGCTACATAAAGTAAGCAAGGGTCACTGTCCTGAATATTTTTCTTCATATTTTAAACATGTCAGGTCTACACATGGTTATGGTACCAGATCTGCTATATTAAATGACGTTCTAACACCATCATTTAAAAGAAACTCAGGGCTTAAAACTTTCCATTCAAGTGCATGTCGTCTATGGAATAATTTGTATAACTCATACAGAAACATTACTTCCCATAAAAATTTCAGGAAAATGCTGCAGAACAATCTTATCAGGGAAAACTCGTCATTAGACCATTTTAATACTACAAGGACTTTTTAAGAATTTTAAGTTTTAGTATTTTAAAAATTTTTAATGTATTTCAATATAACTAAGACTTTTTGGGAATTTTAAAAATTTTAAGAAATAGTAGGATTTTTTAGAATAAGTAGGATGTTTCTAATTTTTATTAAAATATCTCTTTTTTGAGAGATATTGTAAGAACTACCGGGCCACCGGTAATTAATGTACTCCACCCTCAGTAAATAAAGTTTTCTTTCTTTCTTTCTTTTTTTCGTTCTTTCTTTCTTTCTTACATTGTAACTTTTCACCTGGTTTCCGGTGATCTCCGGGATGGCAACGATTAAAGTAAACTCTTGAAAAACGCAATGTAGCATATACTCTTTTTTTCTCCCTCAGTTTGAAAGAAAGCATTTAAATGGCTGTGGCTTCTATACAGAAGGTTTAGAGCGTCT